GGCGGCGGGCCGGCCCGAGGGCGCCTCCTCCTGGCGGCGCTGCTGCTGCTGGTGCTGATGTGGGCGCGGGGGGCCCGGGGCCAGGGCGACCCCCAGCGGGGCGCCATCCTGGGCATGAGGCTGGCGAGCTGCAACAAATCGTGTGGGATGAACGCGGATGGCATCATCTTCGTGTCCGAAGGCAGCACGGTGAACCTGAGGCTGTACGGCCAGAGGCTGGGCTCCATCTCCAGCAACCTGATCTCCTTCACCGAGGTGGACAACTCCGAGGCCATCCACAACTCCACCAACTGTCCCGAGCTCACCAAGGACCTGGTCGTCCAGCAGCTGGTCAACGTGAGCCGCGGGAACACGTCCGGGATGCTGGTGGTGCTCACTAAGTTCCTCCGGAGGAGCGAGAACATGAAGCTGTATGCATTGTGCACCCGGGCCGGGGTGGATGGGCCCTGGCAGAGGTGGACCGATAAGGACTCGCTGCTCTTCATGGTAGAGGAGGCTGGGAGGTTCCTGCCCCTCTGGCTGCACATCCTCCTCATTATGGTGCTGCTGGTGCTGTCGGGCATATTTTCTGGCCTCAACCTGGGGCTTATGGCCCTGGACCCTATGGAGCTGCGCATCGTGCAGAACTGTGGCACCCAGAAGGAGAGGCGCTATGCCCGCAAGATCGAGCCCATCCGGCGCAAGGGCAACTACTTACTCTGCTCGCTGCTTCTGGGAAACGTGCTGGTCAACACGTCCCTCACCATCCTTCTAGACAACCTCATTGGGTCTGGGCTCATGGCGGTGGCTTCTTCCACCATTGGCATTGTCATCTTTGGGGAGATCGTACCTCAGGCCTTGTGCTCCCGACACGGCCTGGCTGTGGGTGCCAACACTATCATTCTCACCAAATTCTTTATGCTAGTCACCTTCCCCCTCAGTTTCCCCATCAGCAAGCTCCTGGATTTTGTTTTGGGCCAGGAGATTCGCACCGTTTACAACCGGGAGAAGCTGATGGAGATGTTGAAGGTAACGGAGCCCTATAACGACCTGGTGAAAGAGGAGCTAAATATGATCCAGGGTGCCCTGGAGCTACGGACCAAAACCGTGGAGGATATCATGACCCAGCTCCAAGACTGCTTCATGATCCGCAGCGATGCCATCCTGGACTTCAATACCATGTCAGAGATCATGGAGAGCGGCTATACCCGCATCCCCGTGTTTGAAGACGAGCAGTCCAATATTGTAGATATTCTCTATGTCAAAGACTTGGCCTTCGTGGACCCTGATGACTGCACCCCCCTCAAGACCATCACCCGCTTCTATAACCACCCAGTGCATTTCGTCTTCCATGACACCAAGTTGGATGCCATGCTGGAGGAGTTCAAGAAGGGTAAGGCCTGATGGAGCTCTCCCCATTAACTGGCTTTGTGACGCTTCTCGTTCCCTTGCCTGTTTTGTGTCGGCTGGTCTTAAGTGTTTTGGTGTGACTGTCCCTTTGCCCATCGCTTCCTGTGCCTCTGAGGTGAATGGCATTTGGGGCAGCAGGAACAGTTCATAAGCATCTGCCGTTTGCCAGGTACTGTGCTTTGTGCTCCAGGTGAATCAGAGCCGAGACACGCTGGTGCACTTGGAGGGATGGAGCAAGGCCTCAGGGAGCTACTGAAGCAGGACAGAGTAAGGCCTTAAAAGAGGCCATGGAGATTACAGTGTGGGGCCACACATCTGATTGGGGTGAGGTGGGGAAGGGGCTGGGGCCCTGGGAAAACCTTCACAGGGGGAGGGAGCGTTGAAGGGAGAGCCTGAAACCTTGTGCCTCAGGCAGGGGGAGCCCCACAAGGAGCAGGGCACCTGAGTGGGGAAGCAAAGGATGTGCTTGTGGCCCAGCAGGTGGTCCTATTGAGCTGGGTTTGAGTCTGCTGCTCGGTGGTCAGTGGGGAGAGGCTGAGTCATCTGGGGCCTTGGGAAGCACCTGAAGACAGGGCGGTGCGTTTGCTTGGAGCTTGGCGCTCTCGGAAGTTTTTGAGCAAGAGTGATGTTTCTGGAGCTCCTAACCCACAGAAGCTGAATTAGGAGGTCTCTGGTTGGCTCCCCACTCAGAACAGTGCCAAGTAATGCTTTCGACTATTCTGCAGAAGCAAGCAGATCAAGTTTTGGTTATTGTTCTGTCTTTTCCCAGGCGCCAAACATAAGCTTCCCTCCTGTGGTCTGCTGCTGGAAATCGTCAGCTGGCCTTGCAGTGCCTTGTGTTTTTTTTCTCACATGGGTTCTTGGCCAGTTCTCAGGTAGTTAGAGAGGCACTTGGAGGTTTTACTCATCAGCCTCAAAGCTCAGGGCACACACCCCTTTCCTTACTTCCAACAAAACTTTCCTCCCACCTCTGCCACTCAGAAGTCCTCAGTGGCAGTAAACAAGCCAATTATGGAGTAAAACCCTCCTAGGCCACAGGGAGTGAGGAGGCAGAAAGGGAAGCTCTTTACAAAGGAATGGGGGAGGGGAGGGCGCACATCTTAAATCCAGGACTTTGCTTCCCTTCCCCATAGGTAGAGCTCCTGCTGGCTAAGGCAGCCTGCCAGCCCAGGGCACTCCAGCAGGGAGCAAGCCTCAGATGGGGAGGGGAGAGCCTGGAACTGGATGGGTCAGTGGTGATGGGGTGGGATAGGTAGGAGCAGGCCTTGCCCGGTTTGCGCTGAAAAGATGCTCTGGTCAGGGCCAGAGTGGGATACTGATACCCTCCCTTTTTCAGAGGGACAGACAGAGTGAATCTCAGCATCAGAACTGAGAAGGACTCGAGTCATAGAAGTCCAAGTGGGAGACAGCCTGGTAAGGTGGCCTCATTGCAGAGAGACTGAAGGGACCTGGACATCTGGTGGTGATGGCACCGTGCTGGGGGAGCTTTGCAGGTGCAGGCCCAGGAACCTGTTTCTCCCAGGTAGCCGATCCTGGAGTAGAGAAGTGAGGATCTGTGCCCTAGCCCCACCCTGCAGCCTCTTGGCCCTGAAGACTTCTCCCATGTTGTTTGGTCAGGAACCTGGTTAGGCCTCACCAGGGCGGCTTCCTGCTCACCACCTCTATGGTCTTTGGGACGGTTGCTGGTGACACACCCAGCAAGCACGTTTGCATCGTTCAGCTTGGATCTGGAGCCAACTGGTATGGATCGGCTTGGCCAGGCTTCCCAGCCCCTGATCAGGAGGGCTGAGCTCTTGTCCGGTGGGAGCTTCCTGGGTCTTGGCAGGGGCATCTTTGGACTCAGCTTGTAAAAAGGACTACCACTTCAGGAAGCTGAGAAAACAGGATCTTTCAGGCCAGAGCTCGGATGAGTGGAATTCTCCAAATGTACATTTTAGTTCACTGGAGTCTCCTTAACAGAGGCTGGTGGTCTGAGCCTGAGCGCGAGCCCTAGCCCGAGCCCTAGCCCTAGCCCTAGCCCTAGCCCTAGCCCTAGCCCTGGAGGGGGTGCTGCTAATTCCGTGGAAACGCAGGCACAGTCTACCCAGGGCAGCATGAAGCCTTGAAGGTGTGAGTGTGATATGATGGTCACCCCTAATGGACACACCCTGGGGCTTTGTGGTTCCATCCTAACTCATTGCCACTCTGGGCTGCCCCCCGTATGGTCTCTCCCAGATCTTTTCATCTGGCATTTACCTTTTTAGTCTGAGGCCCTCTTGGACATGGCAAACACTTTACATCTGCATCTTAAAAGATTCTCTTTACAAATCTGGTGTTTGGAAGGCTTTTGTAGCTAAGAAAAACAAGGGAGCAAGGTTACGTGGCTAGCACTGTCAGCAGCATCAAAATAAGAGCTGGGGGCCTGCCAGGTGTAGCCAAGCATCTCCCTGAGGGTCTTTCCTATGCTTCCGTGGACTCTCCAAGTTGGGTAAGGTCCCTAACCTCTGCCAGAGTCTTTCTGCTCTGCGTGTAATCCTCTTTTAAGATCATTTTATCTCCTCCTTGCTCCCCAGCTTTATGAGCTCCTCGTGGGTAGGGATCATACCTTACTAGTGTTTTCACCACTCAGTGCCTGGAAAGGGATGGGTCTTTAGTAAATGTTTGTTAAATGAATGAATGAATGAATGAACGAAAGAATGAGCAATGAATGAATGACAGACAAGCCCTGCCGGCCTTCTTGCTGTTCCTTGTACACACCAGGATGCTCCCGCCTGAGGGCCTTTGCCCTGGCTGTTCCTTCAGGCTGGAATGTTTTTCCCCCAGATGTTGTAGGCCTCACTCTCTCCCCTCCCTTGTGTCTGCTTCAGCTTCACCTTCTCAGTGAGGCTTTCCTGGTGCCCTATTTAAAACTGTGACCTCCTGGGGCTCCTGGGTGGCTCAGTCGTTAAGCGTTTGCCTTCGGCTCAGGTCATGATCCCAGGGTCCTGGGATCGAGCCCCGCATCGGGCTCCCTGCTCAGTGGGAAGCCTGCTTCTCCCTCTCCCACTCCCCCTGCTTATGTTCCCTCTCTCGCTGTCTCTCTCTGTCAAATAAATAAATAAAATCCTTTTTTTTTTTTTTTTTAAGACAAGCAGGGGGAGTGGGAGAGGGAGAAGCAGGCCTCCCGCCGAGCAGGGAGCCGGATGAGGGGCTCAATCCGAGGACCCTGGGATCATGACCTGAGCTGAAGGCAGACGCTTAACGACTGAGCCACCCAGGCGCCCCCAAATAAATAAAATCTTAAAAAAATAAAATAAAAATAAAACTATAACCTCCCATCCTCCCCGACCTTCCTCATCTCCTCTACCCTGTGCTAATTTTTCTTTTTCTCATAGCACAAATCACTTTCTAACAACTCCGTAATTTACAAATCTACTATGCTGTTTATTGTCTGTCTCCTCTGTTAGAATATTAAGTTCCAAAGAGCAGAGCTCTTTGTATTGTTCACTGGCATATCCCTAGCCCCTAGAATGGTTCTTGGCACATAGTAAGATAAGATCTCAATAAAAGGTCACTATGTGAATGAATGATCTGTTAGATTTGGGACAGAATTATCCCCTTCCATAGTGCTAGAATGTTGAGGAGCCGATATCCAGGGAACTTGATATTTCTAGTTGCACCGAGGAAGACAGGAGGGGCTCCTACGATGACATATATATTAATGGTTCAGGGACCGAGAAGCAGAGTTTGGGGTCTTGAGAGTGATGCACGGTTCCCCTTTCCTTTGTCTCAGTTTCTGTGAATAAGCGGTTTTTGACCATCAGGCATGTACATAGCTTCCCTCATTAATGTGAGTCATGAAGATGCTCCTACGTACACACTTAGAGACAGGCTCCGGGAGTCCATGCAGGCATGGGGCTGAACTTCCCTTGGAGACTAAGGCAGGCTTACAGCTTCCCAGCTGCTTTGCCTCCCAACTCAAGGCATTTATCATTAGGTATTTATTGAACCTCATACTCTCTGTGCAAGACACGGAGCTAGGCACCACAGGACCTAGGAGTTAGACCATCTGGTTGGCTAGAGCTGTAAGGCCACTGAGAGGCTCATGCCATTTGACCTTGGTCCTTCAACTTACACCTCGCCTGGAACTGTTTGCAGCATGGAGTGTTGTGGTTGACTTTGTCTACAGCTTGAGATCTTAGAACAGAGGCTCCCTGGGCTCCTCCTGGCCCAGTTGCATTTTTCTTTTACCAAAGATGCCCTCCCAGACCCTGGAGGCAGAGTAATGAATAAACTCTCCCAAGTAGAAGTCAGAAGCTCCAGCCCCACAATGAAGCCCACCTTCCAGCTTTCCGCTGTCCCTCCCTCTGTGACATTCCTGTCCCTCTCAGGCACTGGGCTCATCTGTAGTCATCTTATCTGTCCCCACCTACTTTATGACCATCTAGTCCCTTGTAAAGACTTGGGTTTAAACTCCACCCAGCTTGGTCTCCGACCCATGAGGTGACTTTGGACCTATTAGTGGCCTCATAGAAAGTTAGCGTGTTTACATATTGAAGGGGAAAAAGCTAGAAATATTTTTGTTGAAAACTCCTCCCATATTTCCATCTGTGCCACATCACACTTCTCCCACATACTTTTTTTCTTCCTGAAACAACTTTATCAAGTCAGGAACAGTGCATAATTTTTGCATTCACTTTTGGTTCCTACCATCTGACACACTTTTAAGTATCTTATTTCCCTCTGTTTGCTTGTTCATTCATTTGTTGCAACAAACATCTAATTTTCTGAGGCCTGTGGTGTCAGACACTGTGCTCGCTGTTGGGAGTCAGAGAGGACTAAAACAGCCCTGTTGACAGAACTCTCAAGTCTAGCAGGGAGACAGACCTTGTAAACAAAGCTTACTGTTCCCGGTTCAGGTAGGTGCAGTGGGGCTGAGGAAGGCCTGGGCCCGTGAGATGCTTCTGAAGTCGGAATAACAGGACTCGGTGGTCACTTCGGAGATGTTGGAGTCAGGACCAGGAA